GTTTTGCGCCAATAACCCTTTTTTTCCTTTTCTATTTTTAATTAATTTTTTACTTTTTTTATTATTTTAAATAAATATAATATGGAAAGACTCTTTTGCCCTTCCTTAAATTGATCAAATGAAGGTTTATCCTAATTATTTGGTCAACTAACAGGATGAAAATTGTTCAAAAGACTTGGAGCTACATAAATTTTGCAAAGAATAATTCTACTTGTACATCAAAAAATGTACATAAGGGTGTACATCCCCTCACATGGGGTGGGATCCACTTGTATAAAATATTTTTTTGTTCAAGCGAGTCCCACCCTTATGTGAGGGGGGTGTACACCCCTATGTACATGGTGATGTACCACTAGCAAAAGCATTTTGCAAATGGTATTCTTCCACTATTGCACAGAACCTGTTGTCAAGATAGTCCCACATTGTTACGGTCGGAGATCAAAACACAACATCATTCTTAAAGTAGTCATCACTATCAAGATTCGAAAATTAATAATCATAAGGTTTCAGTTCAGATGTACGATCAATCACTTTGCCTTCGGAGTTAATGCTAGCTCACTTTGTGATGTTCAATCCACATTGCTCCATTTCGTAAATAATGAAGAAATTGTAGCATATTTCCAGTATAAACGAAGTAATTTTGAAATTGTAGCATTCACTTCATTTGGTAAATAAATCAACTCACCATGGAATTATTAGCCTCAAAAAGAATCTACATAAAACCTCAATCCAAGGCAAAAAATAAATAAATAAACATGGACACCATGTTTCTTATGTCCTGTTCATGAGTGTAGANTAGTATTAGGTATAGAACTAGGTTAGGCCCAAAAGACAAGCTAAGGCCCAAGTAGAAAATAGGTGGGCCATCCAAGTTTGGGTCGGTTTAGGGTTGGTTTAGCAATTGTGGTGTTCGATTAACTTTCAGTCATTTGGACTATGCCGACTGAATTAATACAACGTAATTCATCATCGCCCGGGGGAGGTCGTTTGACAACAATTTGCCTAACACGTAAGATCAATTACTTTGCCTTCAGAGTTAATGCTAGCTTACTCTGTGATTTTCAATCCACATTGCTCTTCATTTCATAAATAAAGAAGAAATTGTAGCATATTTTCAGTATAAAGGAAATAATTTTGAAATTGTAGCATTCACTTCATTTGGTAAATAAATCAACTCACCATGGAATTATTAGCCTCAAAAAGAATCTACATAAAACCTCAATCCAAGGCAAAAAATAAATAAATAAACATGGACACTATGTTCCTTATGTCCTGTTCATGAGTGTAGANCTTATGTCCTGTTCATGAGTGTAGAACTGTTAAAACTCCAGGAAAATTGAAGAAAAACAAACTAGAGTTAATCACATGAAGAAAAACAATAAAATAAAAGAACCCTATAAACATGAAATACATCAAACCATGCACACTACAGTTAATCACAGAAAAATGAAACAATCCAAAGAAATAAGAGGATTGTTAATGTCCTCCAAGACAAGATCCATGTCCATTCCTTGATTGCGCTGAACTTCTCCAATGGAAACATCATCAATTTTTGCATTAATCCGTTGGTTAATAACATCCCTTTTGCTCGTTATTGCAGCATTTCTCCTGGTTAAATCATGACTTGGACATGCAGTTTGAGGCCTGGAATATTCTTTTTTCCTACCAGATGATGCAGAAATATTTGTATTTGCCCTCAAAATTACAGATGAATTCCTGCAAGAATTGTTTCTTGATACAGTTGTTGGTACAGTCCTGGAAATGTTATCCCCAGTAAATCTTCTGCTTGGAGAGGGTGAACTCATTAGTCCTCTATTAGGGTTTGAACTTGCAGAATTATGCTCTCTTCGGAAGCTTTTTTGTCGAACGAGGGTCGGGGAAGCAGCCCGGGATCTTTTCTTGGGTGTTGCTTGTTGAACCATCTCATCTACAAAAAATTCTTCAGGGGTGGAGTTTTTCAGTACTGGTTCCGCAACCGGTTTTACCAAGTGCTCGAGACTGTTCTGATGCTGGATTCTTGAATACACTGCTGATTTTTCAAGACATTTCTTGGTTTGATTTAGGCCAATTACATGTGGATTCTCCTTCACACAAGACCACAAGAACTCATTCGAAAATGACCCGTCCTTCGTACACAAGGCCGCAGAAGAACACAATGATGAAGAAGACGACGACAATGCCACAGAAAATACCTTGCTCGGCCCACCATTCGAGCAAGAAAATGACGAAAAAGAAGCCGAGGAAACAGAAGAAGGGGCTGGAGAAACAGGTCTATCAGTTATTTGGGGATTAATAACAGAAACTGAATCTTGCGAAATAACAAGTTTATCATGAACATGGCTATGATCTTCCTTAATTTTTTTCTTTGATCTAGATTTGCTAATGCAAGTACCCATTTGATTTGGGATTTGAATTTGAAAATTTTGAAGAACAAGACCGTATAATTTTTGCAGGGTTAAGTTGAAAAGTCCTTGTATATATGTTATTCATACAATTGTTAGTTGCTTTTACATTTTGTCTCTCTCTTTCAGAAATTTGAACTTTGTTGCCGGGTAATATTAATTAATATACGTTGGATAACGGTTACATTGAACATACTATGATGTTTTCTTTCACTTTTTCTAGCTTTTTGGTATATGGAATGTTTGAGATTTTACTCTTGGTAGGTTGTTTCAAATTAAATTGAGTTTCATTTTGTTGATATGTATATAAAATATAATTAAAATGTGGTGCAACAAATTCAATTGTATTGTGAATATATTATCCTCAAACAAAATCGATCTACAATATCAAAAACTACATGTAAATTACAAAATTGGAATTTGAAACCCTTGAATGAAACTTCTTTCCATTCATAGAGTAATGTATGATAGACTAAACACATACATGTTTTAATTATGCTCCAGTTTGGTAGGAGTTAAAATTTAGATTTTAGTTTAAGTCTATTATACAAAATCATTCAAGATCATAACAGATCGACTAATGCATAAAAAATATTACAGACTCGAAACACCAACCACTTGAGAATATTGTACATTTATATATCAACAAAGAGACCAGAAATTCACCCAACAACCCTCACAAAGAACCATGCAAGTTGCGGTCTCTTCTATGAACCAGAAGAACGCCACAAACGATTTACACTCCCAAAGAAAAGAAGAACACTCAAAACTTCTAATTTCGCAAAGGAACTCAAAGATTCATTCAACCAAAAAAGGAAGATGAAAGGGAGATGAAAACAGAACTCTCTCGAAGAAAACCAAAAGAGTTGAATCAATCAAGGTTGAGATACACACACAACATATATATATATATATATACCATTCAGCCCCACCGTAGATCATAAGACAGATCAATGGCTCGGAGTGACTTGCAATTGCAATTATAATTCCAAAATTTTTAAAAAGTGCTAACGAATTTCAAATAAATTATTTAAAAAAATAGAAATTATAATTTATTTTTAAAAAGGTGCAAACGAGCCCCAAATAAATTATTAGAAATTAATTTTTTTTTAAAGTGCAAACGAGTCCCAAATAAATTATTAAAAAGTTAGAAATTAAATTTTTTTTTTAAAAAAAGTGCAAAATGCGTCTCAATTAAATTTAATTAAAATTTTTTAAAAAGTTAAAAATTGCAAACGAGTCTCAAATAAATTATTTAAAAATTAAAAATTAAAAAAATTAATTTCAGTTAATTTTCATTTTTTTTAATAGGAAACTATATTCGTCATTTCACAACTCTTTATTAAAAAATAGGATGAAATTGATATAAAGGATGACTTGCGAAATCAAAGATATAATTAAAGGTGAAAATGTCAAAAACGTGAAAGGTATGGACATTTATCATGCTACATGTACACACATGTACTATAACATTGGATTACAACCTCTCACAATAGAGGTGGGTCCCGTGATTAAAATAATAGTGGGCCCCACCTTCCTTGTGAGAGATTGTAACCCAATGTTGTAACCAAATATTGTACAAGGAACATTATGTGTTAATTACCTTTTTAATAATTCATTTGAGACTCATTTGTGCTTTTTTTTTAAAAATTGGGATTATGGTTGCAATTAATTTTTTTTTCTTTTTCATTTTATTTTATTTAAAGAGAAGATTATATTCGTCATTTCATAATTTTTAATTGAGAAATAGATGAAAACGACATTTTGCACAATAAAAGGTGAAAATAAGGGAAAATAGCGCGCTCGCGCGCGCACACACATATATATTACATTTTTCATTTTACTCTTACGAAATTTTTTAACTTCTAAGCTGTTTTGTCCCGTAAAAACTACTCATAAACTTCCAGCACCTTATTTCAGTTATTTTGGTATTACCATACATCATAACAAATGTTGGGTGGTGGTTGTTGCGGGTTGTTGTTGTTGCTCTAGGTCTCAACGTTAAGGACTGCTAAAACCCTTCTTGATAATCTAGTGATAATCAAATGATGTTATCAATACGGCGTTATGTTGTCAGAAGATTTTGTGCAACATTTGCCATTGCCTATGCTCTAGGGACATTTTTTTAAAGGAAGAACTCCAAAATCACTTGACATAGAAACCCCATGGCGACACTCAAATCGAAATGCTATAAGTTAATTCTCAACTTAAAACAGATTATGAAAACTGGAAACTTGAATCATGCTCGGAAGTTGTTCGATAAAATTCCTCACAAGAATGAAATCTCATGGACAACCATGATTTGCAGTTATGTAAACGCGTCTGACTCGTCTGAGGCATTGTCTTTGTTTCAAAATGTGGGTTGACCAGTGCCTCAAAATGGACCCCTTCATACTTAGCCTTGCGCTCAAGGCATGTGAGCTAAATATGAATGTGAAATATGGGGAAATGTTACATGGGTTTTCAGTGAGAACTGATTTTTAAACTCTATTTTTGTGGGGAGCGCGATTCTTGATATGTATATGAAGAATGGGAGGATTTGGGAGGGTTGTGGAATGTTTGATGAGATGCTATTAAGGAATGTTGTTTCTTGGACTGCCATTATGACGCGGCTTGTTCGTGTTGGTTTTAACAAGGAGGGATTGATCTATTTCGCTGAAATGTGGAGAGACGGTGTTGAATATGATTCATATACTTTAGCCATTGCTTTGAAGGCTTGCGCTGATATGAGATATTTGAAGTATGGGAAGGAAATTCATGCTTGAGCTATGAAGAATGGGGTAGATATGACATCATATGTGGCCAATAGTCTTGCTACCATATACAACAAGTGTGAGAGATCGCAATGCGGTTTGTTCTTATTTAAAAGCATGAATAAGTGGTATGTGGTTTCATGGACAAATATAATTACATCATACGTCCAGATGGGCCAAGAGAAGCAAGGAATTGATGCATTTCTACAGATGAGAGTCAAATGTATCTCCTAATGAGTATACTTATGCAGCAGTCATTTCCGGTGTTGCCAATATTTCATGACTTGATTGGGGACAACAGTTACATGCACATGTTTTGCACATAGGTCTCATGGACTCATTATCTGTGGTAAATTATGTCATGACAATGTATTCAAAATGTGGCTATTGTGAGTCAACTTCAATAGCCTTTCATGAAATGACCAGAAGAGATCATTACTTGGAGTACTATTATTTCCGGGTA